AACCAGGATTCAGAACTGCCTTAAACCTATATAAAAGGACATCCTACAACTAAGGGATTAAAGAATAAACCACGAAGAGACTGGTAGGAGGATGGAGATGTGATAAGGGCCAGTCCCACACCCACATAAAAATTGGGAGGCATATCTCAGCTGTGGAGATCCCCCCTGAGGAATGAGGGATCCCAGCCCAAGGTTCTATTGCCAGGAAGAGAGGTCCCCATAACTTCTGGTTGTAAAAACCAGTGGGGACTGTGGATGAGAGAGACAGAAAGCTGCTGGAATGCCACACAGTTCCTCTTAAAGGGCCCATGCATGAACTTACTTGGACGTACTCCCTCTGAGATCCAGTGCTGGGACAACAGCTCAAAAGGCACCAGGGACATTGTCTGGCATCAGGACAACAGCTGGAGGGGCAGCTTTCTGCTAGACAAAAGTGCTGGCAGAGCCCATTGTTCCTTTTCTGAGCCCTCCCATTACAAAGTTAGCAGGCATGCACTATATCTGAGTCTCCATCAACCTGACTATCACTGTTTGCCTGTCCTAGTGATTCCCTGAGACGCCACCCCAACAAATTTGCAGGCCTACCCAAGCTGTTTACAGTCGCTTTTCCATATGAATGGTCTGTCTTGGCTCACACTTCAGACTTTTCTAAAATCTCTCAAACAAGCAGCATCTGGCCTCCGTGTACCCTGTACTTTTCACTAAGTGGTTCCAGACTCGGCACTAGCAGCAACTGGCCATGGTTCACAGCTTTGCCTCTCCTGGGTACCTCCAAGCCTACCACAAGTAGCAGCCATCTGTAGATCACTTTGTAGCTCAAACTGGGTGACCCTGGCAGAATACAGGTAGCAGCTCAGAAGGCCCCATAGCCAGTGCACCCACTAGACAGCTTCAGACCACATCAAAACACCATCCAACCACCTCCACAGTGACACACACAAGGGGAAGACTTGGCAGGCACCAGAGCCCCGCTGAAGTAAGTCCTGTTTTGTGAGGCGGGACCCTGCACAGCTGATCCTCTATGGTAGTCAGTGGTCACAACCAGTCCTTGCAGACAATTGACCTGGGGTATATCGCTCCCATTGATGTGTCAGCAGCAATCAAGGGCCAGTTATAACAGGAAGGTATAGAAAGTGCACACAGGTTCGGGGGGCACACCTAGAGTGCCCAACTTGGGAGATGGGGGAGACTATGCCACTGGACCCTACAGGACACCTACTACATTAGGCCTGGGAGATGTAGCAGCTCTACCTAATACACAGAAACAAACACAGGAAGACTGCCAAAATGAGGAGACAAAGAAACACGTCCCAAATGAAAAAAACATAAGAAAATTCCAGAAAAAAACTAAATAGAGACAAGCAAACTACTAGAAAGAGTTCAAAACACTGGTTATAAGGATGCTCAATGAACTTAGGGGAAGATTAGTTGTACTTAGAGAGAACTTCAGCAGCATAAAAAAGGACATGGTAACCATAAAAAAAGGAAGACATGGAAACCTTAAAAAAAGTTAGAAATGAAGGATACACCATGAAGGAAATAGACATGCAAGTCCAGAAAGTGTAGAGTCCCAAACAAGATGAACCCAAAGGGGCCCATACAAAAATACACATCATAATTAAAATGCCAAAGGTTAAAGAAAAAGAGAATCTTAAAAGCAGCAAGAGAAAAGCAGTTATCTACCTAAAAGGGAACTCCCATAACACTATCAGCTGATTTCTCAAAAGAAACTTTGCAGGCCAGAAGGAATTGGCAAGAAATATTTAGAGTGATGAAAAGCAAGGACCTACAACCAGGATTACTCTATTCAGCAAAGCTATCATTTAGAACCAAAGGACATATAAAGAGCTTCCCAGACAAGGAAAGGCTTAAGGAGACCATCACAACCAATATTACATAAAATGTTAAAGGGTCTTCTTTAAGAAAAATAAGAAGAAAAATAAAGATTAAAAATATGAACAAAATGGCAATGAACATATATCTATCAAAATGGATCTTTAAAAAAAACACAAAATAAATGAAGCAGAAAAAGAAAAGGTGACTTCCTCAACATAAAAAAGAGCATCTATAACAATCTATAGCAACCATCATACTTAACAGTAAAAGACCAAATGTTACTTCCCTAAGATGACAAGGCAAGAATGTCCACTATCACACTTCTAGTCTATATTGCATCAGAGGTCCTACCAACTGTAATGAAGAAAAAGAAATTAATTAAAGGAATCCAGATTATAACAGCAGAAGTGAAATTAGATCCCTAGAAGACATGACTATCCATGTAGAAAATTTTATGGAATCTGTAAGTGTGGTACTAGAACAAATGAGTATAGCAGATTCCTAGGATAGAACATCACTATAATAAAAATCATTCATATAATTATATATATTGCCAATAAACTATTGAAAATTAACATTTTTAAAATATGCAATTTATCAAAGCATTAAAAAGAATGAAGTACTTAAGAATAAATTGGATAAAAGCTGTGAAAGACTTGTATAGTGAAAACTATAAAACACCATCCAGAAAAGTTAAAGAAATTCTTAGTAAATGGATATGTTGCAATCCTAATCAAACTCCAGCAGCTATTTATAGAAATTGACAGGCTGATTCTAAAATTCATATGGAAATGTAAAATGCCTAAAATAGTCTAAACAATTTGAAAACAAAGAACAAAGCAGAACAACTATGTACATGAAAAAATCAGATAGCTGGTTCCAAACAAGTGTAGGATTACTATATGACATCATTTTAGTGGAAAAATGGCCATCACTTTTCCCCCACATATTTTATGTTTGGAAAATATAAAAATATTACACATGTCCTCTTTGATAATTACCTCATCTTGTTCCCTTTTTCCTCCTTCCCAAAAATAATCAGTGAGTTTGCTAACTTTCTTTCCAGACCACACCACGTGTGTGTGTGTGTGTGTGTGTGTGTGTGTGTGTGT